CAGCGCGTGATCGGTAGATCGGTCTCGTGGCCGTGTCAGCGTTTGACGTGTTGGCCAGACTGACCCAGTGTGCCGCCGCTGGCGCGGCGCGGCGCCGGCCGGTCTGTCACCCGCCGCCGCCCACCGTCAGCAGGACTTCATCCGGGTGAGGTTGTGACGCTGAGGCTGTGACACATGCTCCGCAGGTGGCCGAGGTGCTGGACGCGCGCACGGCCGCCCAGACGTGTGTGGAGGAGTATTCGGCGGCGCTGCACGCGTGCCGGGAGTGGCACCAAGCGACGTCGGACGCTCTGCGGGTAGGCCGGCCCGGCAGCCGGGCGCGCACCATGTGCCGCTCCCAGTCCAACGTCGCACGGCCGAACAGGGCGACCGTGTCCGACAGGGACTTCCCCCAGGACACGCAGGCCGGCGCAGACCGGCGAGACAGTCGTAGAACCGAATGCAACCCGTGTTGTTGCTTTGGGTTTAATGGATGTTCCTATGCCTGGATACCAGTGGGGTGCAACAGGCTTTCATAGATGTTCATGGAGATGTCATACGCAGCACGGAGCCACCTGTGCCAGTCGAGGTCGAACGCTCAACAACGTGAAAGAACGTGACAACGGTACACTCGTGTGCGTTCGTTCATGCAGTTCCGCATTTAGAGGGTTGGTGTAGATGGACCACAGTCTGGTTGGTATCGGTGTGTTGTTTTGACGGGAGTCGGCCGTGGTGGCAGGCCGTGGACGCGCAGGCGGCGCCTGGCGACGGGCGTCTGCAGTCGCTGGCCGAGCTGCGTCAGACGTGTGACGCGCAGCGGACGGAGCTGCAGGCGCTGGAGCGGCGGGCGGAGGAGGCGCGCGCCCGCCTGCCGGAGCCGGAGGCGCAGCACGTCACCAGCCAGGCGAGTCGGGGCCCGCCCCGGTCTGATGTTGAGCGGCAGGCCGACTGGGGGCGTGTCGGCCGCTCCGTCGCACAGCGCCCTGTGCCGCCTCTCATGGCGTCCTGCGCTGCGCGGGGCTCCGTCGGCGTCGATCGGTCGGCTGTGTAGCGGACAGTGGCGGTTGCACGGTTATATTGCGCCCTGAGCCGATTGTGCGGCCGTGTGGCGTTGCGTCTGCGGAGGAGGGAGCGGCCCACGCGCCGGGGCTGGCCTTGACCAGCGCGCCGCGCCTGGCCGGCGGCAGGTGCTGAACGCCCAGCGCGGCTACGACGAACTGTGCCGGCGTCTGGAGCAGAAGACGGCCAGCGTGCGCTCGGCCGCCGAGCAGCTGGAGCGGCTACTGGAGCAACTGCGCCAGCTGGCCGGCTGGTGCCAGCAGTCGCAGCAGACGGCCGCTGGCCTGGCCCGCCCGATCGGCTTCACGCCTGAGGCCGTCGCCGACCGCATCCAGCAGATCCAGGTCCGCCAGCCCGCCAGGCCGCCAGGCCGACCGGACGCCGTCTGACGGCCGCGCCATCCGTCCAGGAAGTAGGCCGTGCTGCACGCTGCTCACCTATCCACTGTCCGAGCGTGGTGGGGTTTATAAACCCCAATGCACGGTTGGGGACCGGATATGTGTACAATTACGTAGCGGGATCACCCTCACGTGCCGTATTCCCCTATTCTTTGTATTTTCAGCCGATGTTGGACTTCCGTGCTTTTGTGTCGTTTGAGAAAAATGCTATGAGGTCGAATGGGCTAGGACTGTATGATTAAGCAGAGCTGAAGCCTTGCAAGACGCTCAGGCCGGCGACAGGTCCTTTCCATGAGACGAGTGCACGGCGTCTTCCCATTCTCGTCGCTTGCGTCGCAACGCTGTGTCTGTGCGGCGGCAGGCTCTGGAGGCCGAGACGAACGCGAAGCGCTCGATGCTGCCGCAGTTTTCCAAGGCCGTGTCCAGCCTGGGTCCAAGCCTGGCCAGTTCTGAGCGCCAACAGCTGACCTCGACACTGCAGCGGATGGAGGTGCGTCAGCCGCCGGCACAGCCATGGCTGCCAGCGTTACGTGACAGCGATACTCAAAGCAGTGTGGTGTGGTCAGTCATGACCAGTGCAGTGCATCAGCGGAAGGTTTGGCTGCAGTTATGAGGTGTCTGCCACTTGATGCATGGCGACTCAGCGGGCGCGAAGCATGGCATCGGTCTCTGCGAACATCGCGAGTCAATTGGCCGAATTATATATTGTCTGTCGTCATCAGGTCGTTGTTTCTGTGGAAGGGCGAGGTGAACTGGTGATGAAGCTGGACACTATAGTGACGAATAATTATATATATATATATAATATATATATATATATATATATATATATATATATAATATATATATATATATATCATATATATTATATATATATACGATGATGTGCCCTCTCCTCTCTCTCCTCACCCACGTCTCCCCCCCTTCCCCTCTCTCCCATGTGGGACTTGAAGAGCTCTCAGACCTATTGCGGTTATGTACTGACCTGCATATAAGGATGGGGTGACATCACCATGGCACCAGGCCCAGAGCGCCAAAGCCACACAGCTGTGAATCGATGTTGGGCTCGTCTTGTCATGCCTTGCCATGTGCTGTTGGCGGCTGTGTGTTGTGACGCTGTCGCGCGCCGCGCCTCTGCCGGCCGGGCAGGCGTCTGTCAAGGAGCTGTCGGCGGCGCTGGAGACTCAGACGGCGGCGCTGCGGCGGGCGCGCGCAGACCGGCGAACGCCTGCAGCGCGCCACCAGCGACGCTCGCCAACAGCTGACCGACGCCGCTGAGCAGCTGCAGCTGCCGGAGCAGCTGCCGCTGGCTGCTCAACAGGTCCAGCAGCTCATGGACCAGAGAACGGTAAGTGGCATACGTGGTCGGCTGCAGACACGCGGCGGGCCGGTTCGGTCAGTCGAATGGTTGGCGTTCGCAGCAAACGCATCAGGAAGTTAGAACAGGGAGCCCTCCCCCCCCCCCCCCCCCTCCTTGCATTTGGTGTGTGATTGAGTTCACCAGAGACGTGGTGCTGACATTCGGTCTCACGGTTCAGATAGCTTGCAACATATTCCATATACCCTCTTTCACACCAAAAATGTAATCGCCTTTATTCTGCTTTGCACTGATTTTCTGCGGAGGCTGCAACACTGGAGCTGGAACCTCGGTGTTGTAGTACAGTATATGGCTACAGTATTGAAGCGCCTCGGTTTGCTGTGCGTCGCCGCAACTCTGAGAGACTGTCCAGTTTTGGCGGCCGCCAGACACTAGTGTCGCAGTTGGATACGCTGGCCGGCCGCCGGCTGGCCGAGCTGCGCCAGCAGGCCGAGCCGCTGCTGGCCGACTGCAGCGACGACGACAAGCAGAAGCTGCTGGACCAGCTGGAGCAGCTGAAACGGGACGTCGCCGGCCTGCAGGTGTGTGGCGCGCCGGCTGTGGGCCCTGTCTGTCGCGCGCCGCGCTGCACTGACCGCCGGCCGGTGATCACGGGCCGTCCCAGACGACTCGACCTATGTAGTCTAGCGGCCGCGGCTCAGTGCAGGCCTCATGAAGGGGACGGTTTGGCGTTTGTCGAGCAGATATTGCCGCACTCTGTGCGGCGTCAGCGACGGTGCGAGCGACTGCGTGCGCGCATGCGTTTGCACGTGTGTTGGTGTTTGTGCTGTTTGCACATGTTTGTGTTGTGGAGCGGTCGACGCTACGAGCTGACCTGCGTCTTCCTTGGGTGAGCAGGAGCGGGCGGCGGCCGGCCGGGAGCAGCTGGCGTTGGTGCTGAAGTCGCGCCGCCAGCTGGACGCCGAGCTGGAGCAGTGTCGTGACTGGCTGCAGTCAGCCCAGCTGACGCTGCGCCACGAGCCGCTCACGGCCACCAATCTGGCCATCCTGCAGGAGCACGCGCTCAAGGTAGCCGGCCCTCCCCCCCCCCCCCCACGGGCCGGATGAGGCCTCCTCCCCACGCCGCGATCGGCGACACCCGGTCAACCGTCCGACGGCCGTGATTATCAGAAAGGAAATACAGCCCATGTTCATTGCCTTCGCTAAGGTTTTTTTAAAAGAGAGTTAGCCCAACTATGATAACTCAATCAGGCTTTTTGGAATGATCAAGCAAAAACTATACGCCCGTGACTCCCAAATAGGACGTATAGGTAGGTCGAGACAAGTAATGGCTACGTTAAACCCCGATGCTGGGCTTTCTTTGTGTAGTTGTGTTTTCTTCGGGCTCATGTCCGACACCGTAGGACAGTGATTGGGAATGAGATGCGGCCCGGCGCGGCTACGACTGTACGGCTGTGTCTGGCTGCGGTGTCTGCAGCCCCCGCCCTTTCTGCGAGACTCTCCGTGCTGTCAGTGGTGTGGCCCCGGTGCGGCAGCTGCGGTTCTAACCACGTCCGGCAGATGGCGAGCCTGCAGGAGGAGTACGACGCGCACCGACAGCAGCTGGCCGGCGTGCTAGAGACGAGTCAGCGGCTGCTGCCGGGCCTGCGAGCCCCCGACCGGCTCACCCTCACCGACTCGCTGGCCACGCTCAACGCCCATTACGGCGAGGTAAGCGGCGTTTCCGGTGCCGGGAGCCGGCTGCGGAGCCGACCACGGAGCCGGTCACGGAGCCGGCCGCGGAGCCGGTCACGGAGCCGGCCTCGGAGCCGGCCACAGAGCCGGCCACGGAGCCGGCCTCGGAGCCGGCCGCGGAACTGGCCGCGATGCCGGCCGCGGAGCCGGCCGCGGAGCCGACCACGGAACCGGCCACAGAGCCGGCCACGGAGCCGACCACGGAGCCGACCGCCCTGGGTCACAAGCCCCAGCACGAGCGACCACGTCGGTCAGACCAGCACCATGGCGGCTGGCGGCCCGGGGATGCGTGTAACGTCGAACTGTGTACCGGGTTGATGGCGTCGGCGTGCCGTCGCCGGCGGTGCCTTGACGCGCCTGACCGGGCTGGGCCGGCCTGTCCCTCAGGTGGGGCACGCGCATTGAGGAGCGGGCCGAGGCGTTCCGCTCGGCGTCAGAGCGCCAGCAGGCCGTCAACACCAAGATCGCCTCCAGTGTTACGTACCTGACCGAGATCAAGAAGGAGATTCGCAACGCTCAACAAGCCCATGGGCTCAGGCGTGGAGGACGCTCAGGTAGGCAGCACGAGCGCCAGCCGCGCCCGGCCCGGCCCGGCCTGGCCGGCTGGACGCCACGCACGCTCAAGGCCGGGCACACCGGACTGGCTCGGGTTCAGGGAGTGCCGCCCCTCTGGATAGACTTGGGTGCAAGGATTGCCGTCGCTCTGGACAGGCTTGGGCTCAGGGAGTGCCGTTGCTCTGGACATGCTTAGGCTCAGGGAGTGCCGTCGCTCTGGATAGACTTGGGTGCAGAGATTTGTGTCGCTCTGAGCGGGCTTGGTTAAATGAGTGTCGTCACTCTGGACAGGCGCGGGCGCAGGGGTGTGCCCTCAGTCTGCCCGTCCGTGAGGTCCGTTGGGCGGCGTCACAGTCGGTACCAGCGGCGCCTGTGCTGGAGCCGCGTGTCGACACGGGCGGTCTGGCCAGCCCCGAGCAGCACGCCTCAGAGCCGGGGTGTGCCGTGTCGGCTCGCCGGGTGCCGACTGACGCAGAGTCTGGCCGGCGACGCCGGGCCGGGCTCCTCGGCGGGCCGGCTGACCCGTGCTTGTGCTGGCGGCAGGGCATCCTCAGCAGCTACGAGGAGGTGCTGCAGAAGCTGCGCGAGTTCCGCAACCAGCTGGAGTCGCTGCAGGACCAGACGGTGGGCAGCATCACCGACCTCAACGACCTGATCCGACAGCAGGACGAGCTGGTGCGGGCCATCGAGAACCAGGTGAGCGGCGCCTGGCCTGACGGGAGCTGGCCAGTCACGCCACGTCACGTCACGTCACGTCACGTCACGTCACTGCCGAGCGGCCGGGCCGGCGGCCATGAGCCGTCGCCTCTGCCCCGCTCCGACCGAGGCGCCCTAGGCCGCTATACGGACGGCAGGTGTTCAGCCTTCCAGCGCGGATGTCTGGAACCGAGCAGCGCAGCTTCGTGATGGAGGACGACGCGCAGGACGGCACGCAATGTAATTGTGTTTTCAACAACCTGATCATTGTATGTCTGTCGTATGGGTTGGTGTGTACCGATGTCGCACGAATCTTTTCTGAAAATTGGTGGCTGCTATTTAGAGGAATGATGCTTCTGCTAATCCCTTGATTGCCACTTGTCGGAGGCTGAACGAGGGCGGCTGTTGGTGTAACAGGCGCCGTGCGGTCTCCAGCGCGCCGGCGCGGGGGCGCTGTGCTGGTCAGACGGCGGTCGTCCGGCGGTCCCGGGGCGCCGTTGAGAGGGGTGCTGCGTTGGTCGGATGGCGTCCGGCCGGCCGGCCGGCGGTCCGGGCGCTCCTCCTCAGCCGCCACCGGCGCGTCCGCAGGTCTCCAAGCTGCGCAACCTGGTGCTTCTGCGGCAGCATTTCCTGCACCTGCTGACCGAGATCACCGCCTTCCTCACCAGCCACGCCGACATCGTGGGCCGACGTGGAGCGCACGGAGCGGGCCCGTGCCCGACAAGATCCGTCAGTACAAACCGGCGTGCTGGCCAAGGTGCGGATGTGCGCGGATGTGCATGGCACCGGCCCTGCCCGGCGCCTCGCTCAGGCGGACCGGGCACGCCGCGGCGCCGGCGGCAGCCCGCACATCCGCCGGCGGCGCGGCGCCGCAGGCCCCAGTGTTGGCTTACTGGACAGGATAACTCTGCACTGCTTTCGAGATTTACCGTCTGGCGTTATAGGCTTTTTGGAAGGGTGTGTGATGCACGTCCCCTGCACAACCTTTTATAGAACTCCAGCGACTGCGGTGGTCATATCAGCGCTAAGGGGCCGTGGTGCTGCCGGCATTGGAGCCAGAGCTTCACACGTGGGAGCCGAAGGGACCGATCACCCGACCGTTGCGCCCCTAGTTCGGACACTGGGTTTGCCCCTGGTTAGGTCCCTGTGTCGTGTCGTTGCACTGGGCGCTGCGGCGTGTCGGCCCTCACGCGTCCTGTGTCACATTCGTCCGAGGTCGCCACGCCCTGAGGCCGTACTTCTGCGCACGCCGCTGATGAGAGGAGTGCACAGCTGCTCTGTCAGCGGGGTTTGCCTTCCAGGTGGGCGGCGATCCGAACCGGCGGGTCCGCTCGGCCGTCTCGCTCAAAAAGTTAGGCGTCGCGCAGTGCGATCAAATGGTAAACGACAGCCTGCGCGCCGTCGTCGGTGGCGTGTGTGCCCAGCCCGGTCTCCGGTCCGCCCTCCGGCGCCGGCCGGTCCCCGCCCCCCACTCCCCCTTCCCCCGGGACAGACCGATCAGGGGCGCTGGGCCCTCCGGCGGTACGGTGAGCCGGCGACCGGCCATAACGACCGGGCGTGGCGTGGCACTAACGTACCCCGCCCGATTGAGCGGCGGCCCCTGTCCACCGCGCCGCCCTCGACGCACCACGGCCGGGCGACGGCCTGAACCGACGGTTACGGCCGGGGCCGACGGTCACGGCTTGAGCCGACGGTCATGGCTTGAGTCGACGGTCACGGCCTGAGCCGTAGGTCACGGCCTAAGCCGACGGTCACGGCTTGAGCCGACGGTCACGGCCTGAGTCGACGGTCACAGCCTGAGCCGACGGTCACGGCTTGAGCCGACGGTCACGGCTTGAGCTGACGGTCACGGCCTGAGCCGACGGTCACGGCCTGAGCCGACGGTCACGGCCTGAGCCGCAGGTCACGGCCTGAGCCGACGGTGACGGCCTGAGCCATAGGTCACGGCCTGAGCTGACGGCCACGGCCTGAGCCGACGGTGACGGCCCGAGCTGACGGCCACGGCCTGAGCTGACGGTCACGGCCTGAGCCGTAGGTCACGGCCTGAGCCGACGGTGACGGCCTGAGCCGTAGGTCACGGCTTGAGCCGACGGTCACAGCCTGAGCCGTAGGTCACGGCCTGAGCTGACGGTGGTGGCCGCAGACGGTCGGCCGCCCCGCTCCAGCTCCGCTTTTGTTCCGCTCAGGGCGGCGCTTCGCCTACCGTGACCGGGCTGCAGCGGACGTGGGAATGTTCTGACCCGGTTCTGTCCGTCCACGGGGTGCAGGGAACTACTGACCCGGCACTGTCCGTCCCCGGGGTGAAGGGGTATCCTGACCGGCTCTGTCCATCCCCGGGATGTAGGGGGTATCCTGACCCGGCTCTGTCCGTCCCCGGGGTGAAGGGGGTATCCTGACCGGGCCCTGTCCGTCCCCGGGGTGAAGGGGGTATCCTGACCCGGCTCTGTCCATCCTCGGGGTGAAGGGGGTATCCTGACCCGGCTCTGTCCGTCCCCGGGGTGAAGGGGGTATCCTGACCCGGCTCTGTCCATCCCCTGGATGTAGGGGTATCCTGACCCGGCTCTGTCTATCCCCGGGGTGTAGGGGGTATCCTGACCCGGCTCTGTCCATCCCCGGGGTGTAGGGGGTATCCTCACCCGGCTCTGTCCATCCCCGGGGTGTAGGGGGTATCCTGACCCGACCCTGTCCATCCCCGGGGTGCAGGGGGACTACTGACCCGACCCCCGTCCGTCTGCAGGTGCAGGACATCGAGGCGCTGTTAGCCGCGGCGCAGGACAAGGGCCAGCAGATCTCGGAGGAGGGCACTGTCAGTGACCGCAACGCCATCCTGAAGCAGCTGCAGAGCCTGAAGCAGCAGATGACGTCGCTGAAGCGGGCGGTGGAGACCAAACGGCGCCAATACGAGGAGGTGAGCGCCCTCGTACAGCCCCGCTGTCTGCCGACACACACCGCGGCCGCCTGGGGGCGTCCAACAGCCGCTCAACAGGAGCGTCAGGTGTGGCCGTGACGGACTGTCCGCAGGGTTCAGTCTCGGGTGTATCCATGTTGTCCCCAGACTGTCTCAGTTCTGTCCGTGTTGTCCCCAGACTGTCTCAGTTCTATCCGTGGTGTCCCCGGACTGTCTCAGTTCTATCCGTGGTGTCCCCAGACTGCCGAGCGCCACGCGGCGCTGACGCAGCAGGTGGCGACTGAACTGGACTGGCTGCACGAGCGGGAGGCCGTCATCAGATCACGGCCCGTACTTAGCATGGACGACGCCGAGATCCACCGACACAGCCAGGAGAGCCTGGTATGGGCGGCGCGGCGCAGCGTGGCGCGCGGGTCAGCCGCTCGCCCCGTCCCTGCTGGCACGCCACGCGCGCTCAAGGGTGGACCAGCGCCTGACACGGAGTGGTGCAGACGCGGCTATGGCGCGGCCGGTGGAAACGGTGCTTGTAACAGGCGTCTGCCTGGTGTTCTCTTGTGTTCTACGTCCGCCTGTTCCAATCCTGTCTCGCCCTGCGGGCCGGCACATCTCCCCCGGTGCCCTCCGTTCGCCCCCCCCCCCCCCCTGCAGCTCTGCCGACCTCCCTTCCGGTGCTCGCCGTCCGACTGTGTCCGTCCGGACTGACCCGGTGCGTGTGGGCGCCGGCAGACGCTGTGTGACGAGACGCTGCCGGCGCTGGAGCGGCTGCAGCAGCTGGTGACGGAGACCGAGGGCCTGGGACCGACGCGCGAACTGCCGGCCGGCCTGCAGCAGCAGCTGAGCCAGGCGCGCCGCCTGCTGCACACCCTGCCCGGCGAGATGGCCGGCCGACAGACGTGCGTACCGCGCGCCGCCGCTGCACGACGTACAGTGCCAGATCTGGTCTGGCGACGATGGCAGAACCACGCAGTGGGCGGTGCAGACGGTTGCTCGCTGAATTTAGACCTGAGTGTGATTTGGGTGCGAGCTCTGCGTATGGCGTATGAGTGTAGAGCAGCTGCCGGGCGTTACGTACGTCGCCTTCGTCTGACGTCACAACCGCGTCACGTCACGTCACGTCACGCCACGTCACGTCAGTGAGAGCCAACCATGGGCTAAGTCGGTGCAGTCGCGCGCGATCAGTGTCACGTTGGTAACGGTTCGGCGGGGTCGCACTGCGCAGGTATCTGCAGGAGGCGCGCCGCCTGTTCGACCAGTACCGGTCTCTGAAGCAGACTGTGTCCGAGTGGGCCCGCGACGTGGGCGAGCGCGTGGAGGAGGCCGAGGCTTGCGGTGACACGCCGCAGCGGCACCAGGCCGTCTCCCGGTGTCAGGTGAGGCGCCCGGGGGTGAGCCGCGCTGCCAGCACGACGGCCGCGCCGCCCAGCAGCCGGCTTTGATCGAATAGGGGGCGCTCCTGACACTTGGCATTTCCACTAGTTGTTCGTGTACTATGCGTGGGTGACGTGGTTGTTGTATGCGACCGTGAAGAGTGCCCACCTGTAGCGCGAGCGGCTGCCGCTGCCGGCCCGCTGGGGCCCGGTCGGTGGCGCCGCTCACTCGGCGCGTGTGTGGCCGCCGGCAGGCCCTGATGGCGGACGAGTCGGCACGGCGCGCCCAAGTGGCCGAGCTGCACACGACTGTGGACCGCTGCTGCTGCCGCTGCTGGCCGCCAAGCCGCGCGCGCAGCTCGACGCCAACCAGCGCCAGCTGATGGTCTCGTACGACGCCATCGTGCTGCGCGCTCAGGAGCTGCTGGACGGCTGGGTCGCGCCAGCTGGCGGCGCGGCAGCGGGCCGAGGCGGTGCTGGCGCAGGTGCGCGCAGCCCTGGCCGCCGCCCGCCAGCCGCTGCCGGCGCCGACCAGTCTGGAGACGCTGCGGGAGGCGGCCAGTTGCGCACGGCAGGCGCGCGCCGCTCTGGACGTGAGTGTGCCGCCGCTGGGGGTCGGTGCCGCCCGACCGCCTGTCCTCCACCTGTCAGTACAGAGGTGTCCGAGGTTTCCGTCGAGGCCGTCCAGGTGTGTGGTTTCACCGGCCGGCGTATCCTAGTGCGAGCGGCGCCTGTAAAGAGTCTCCCGCGGCCTGGCGTACCGGGCCGTGCGCCGTCGGACGGGTGCCGGCTGGATGGGCTGCTGTCTGACGGTCTGTCCCATTCCGGCCAGTCCAAGGTGCCGCTGCTGTCGGAGCTGCAATCGCTGGTGGACGCCACCGACGGCGGGCAGGAAGCGGCAGGGGAGGCGGATCGGGCGCAGGCCGAGTGGCGGCAGATGGCTGACCGGCTGGATGTTGACGCTGCCACTATGGACGATATGATCAGGCTGTGGCAGGTACGGCTCCAGGGGCACGGCATATTATCAGGGGCTGGAGCCCTTCAGCTCCTGAGAAGTAGCGTTGACCCATGGACATTGACTGCAACAAAAAATAACCAAAAAAAACTGTTCACCCCAACTTGGTAGGACATGCCTTGTCTCGAACAGGGCACGCGTCCTCTCTGTCCTGGTCTGTGTGGTCTGTACCCACCGCACCGGCCTCTATACTCAGCGCACCGGACCGATGTTCACTGGCTCAGACCTCAGCCCCATCTGCATCCATCGGCCCCGGTCCTAGCGTCAGCCCATGTGAGCATCAGCTCTGTGCGGGATTTGCTGCCACCGTTCGCAGCGCCGGCGGCGGCCGCGCCTGCTTGTGGTTGGTCTGGAGCCGAGCGAACTACAGACTCGAGTGCACCACCCACTGCCTCCTGTGGGGTATAGAACTTACCTGTCCGGGGTGTGCATATGGAAGTGGCGGCAGCGGCCGGCCTCGGTACAGCCGCCGCACGTGCTGGCGGCCGCCTCAGTCATGCTCTTGCCGGGGCGCTACAGCTGCTGCCCGCCTGGCGCGCCGCAGTGCTGGCCCGCGGTGGCCTCCGCTGTACACTGGGCTCCGCCGTTGCAGACGGTGGAACGGGAGTTACTCGGTCTGGAGTCGGCCGCGGACGCGGTCGGAGCGTCGGCTGACGCGCTGAGGCCAGCCGACGGCGCCTCCGACCGGCAGGCGCAGACGAAACAGGCCCAGGTGCGTGATGCGCGCCACGCCCGGCGGTTGCCGCCGCGTCCGTGATGGGACCAGGCGGCTGCGGTGGCCGGCCGCCGCTGCTCGTCGGTGGCGGCTGCGGGATTGCAGCGGAGGCCGGCGGAAATCAACGGCAGCCCCGCCCTGTGGGCACGGCATTCATGTGTGTGCGGAGTGCTAGTGTATGCTCTGTACGGACTGATGCGGAGAAGGTAGCCTGGTGGCGTGGTTTCGGCCAGGGGGGGGGGGGGCTGCCTGCCCCTGAGCTCTCCTATCTCTTCTCTGTTGCCGCCGTCTTTTGGCACCGGTACCTGCTGTCCCTGACGACTGCCTGTCCGTGTGCCCGCTCTCCCTGACGGCTGCCTGTCCGTGTGTCCGTTATCCCTGACGGCCGCCTGCCCGTGTGTCTGTTATCCCTGACGGCTGCCTGTCCGTGTGTCTGTTATCCCTGATGGCCGCCTGTCCGTGTGTCTGTTATCCCTGACGGCTGCCTGTCCGTGTGTCTGTTATCCCTGACGGCCGCCTGTCCGTGTGTCTGTTATCCCTGACAGCTGCCTGTCCGTGTGGCTGTTATCCCTGACGGCCGCCTGTCCGTGTGTCTGTTATCCCTGACGGCTGCCTGTCCGTGTGTCCGTTATCCCTGACGGCTGCTTGTCCGTGTGTCTGTTATCCCTGACGGCTGCCTGTCCGTGTGGTCTGTTATCCCTGACGGCCGCCTGTCCGTGTGTCTGTTATCTCTGACGGCTGCCTGTCCGTGTGTCTGTTATCCCTGACGGCTGCCTGTCCGTGTGTCTGTTATCCCTGACGGCCGTCCGTCCGTGTGTCTGTTATCCCTGACGGCCGCCTGTCCGTGTGTCTGTTATCCCTGACGGCTGCCTGTCCGTGTGTCTGTTATCCCTGACGGCTGCCTGTCCGTGTGTCTGTTATCCCTGACAGCTGCCCGCCGCCGCAGACGTGCCGGGCCGAGCTGGCGGGGCTGCGCCAGCGGCAGGAGGAGCTGGCGCCGCGCGTCGCCCGGCTGCTGCAGTACCTGGGCGCAGCCGAGTCGCCGGCTGTCGGACCCCTCTCGGAGCGGACCGAGCGGCTGGGCCAGCGTCTGGACAGGTGAGTGGCGTCCGCCTGCTCGGCACGCACCGGTGCTCCGCACGACGGCCGCATGCGGCGCTAACCTCTCCGCTGGCGCCAGCCTGGACAACTGTCTGTGTAATGGCCAGTGCAATAAAACCGGCATGAGCGGGGAAAGGTAAAAGAATACTTCGGTGCGTTGGAAAGGCCTCGATGTACTTGTCCTTGGCTTGTACTTAAACTATTACTCGTGTCGCGATTTGCGTCAAGGGATAAGTGGTTGTGTCCGTCGATGCGCCGCTGGCCGTGCAGTTCAGCCGTGCGCCATGTTCGGTCCCGCAGTGTGACGACCGCGCTGGAGGAGCGCTGCCGTCAGCTGGAGGCGGAGGCGGCCTTCTCCGAGCAGGTGTGCCGCCGGACCGCCGGCCTGGCGGCGCGGCTCGAGTCGCACCGCGCCGCGCTGGCCGAGCAGGACCCGTACAGCGGCGAGCCCGCGCCCGCCGGCCACCAGCTGCAGGTGAGCAGCTCCCAGCGGACGAGCAGCATCCGCACAGCTGTCGGCGGTCGACCGCGGCTGCCAGCGGCCCGGCCGTGAGGTCAGCTTAGATTTGCCACGCGCCTGACAAGGTGCAGGCCGTCGATGGATGGCTGGTGGCAGCGCCGCGTCCAGGGACGGCTGTCGGGAAGAGTCATCGACAATGGATGGTGATGTGACGGACTGGCATGGAGGACAGCATGCCAGGCAGGGTGCCGTGATTTGAGCATCATCCGTCAGATGTGACGGCGTCGGCCGATGGTGTCGATGGTGCTCAGCTCAGTGCCGTGCGCGCCGGCAGGACCTGCAGGAGGCCTCGGACGGCCTGGGCGGCGAGCTGACGGCGCTCTGTGACGAGGTGGCCGCGCACTACGAGCACGGCACGCCTCGAGCGGTGGCTGCTCAGGTAGGAGACGGGCCGCGCCCCAGGCCGCCCCGGCCCCACGCCCCATGGCAGCGGTAGCCGAGCGGTGCCGCTTGTGACGTGCCGAGTTCGGGCAGCACGTGCTGTCCGTGTGCAGCCCGTGCACGGCAGAGGGCGCCAGCGGACGTCAGAGCCGGCCTCTGATCGTACTCGTCCCGGCGTCCCGCCCGTGCACGTGCGCCGCCGCTGCGACCGAGCACTGATCAGTCGACATTGGTGGGGTCTGTGTCGGAGGTGTCGGTATTGGTCGTGTTTCCAGGTGTCCCGTCTGGAGATGGTGTGGGTGTAACGCCTGTCACCAGGCTGGAGATGGTGTGGGTGTGACGCGTGTGACCCAGCTGGAGGTGGTGTGGGTATGACGCGTGTGACCCGGCTGGAAGTGGTGTGGGTATCACGCCTGTGACTTGCCTGGAGATGGTGTGGGTGTGACACGTTTGTCCCGGCTGGAGATGGTGTGGGTATGACGCGTGTGACCCGGCTGGAGGTGGTGTGGGTGTGACGCCTGTGTCCGTGTTGCCAGGTGTCCCGGCTGGAGCTGCTGTGGGTGTGACGCCTGTGTCCGTGTTACCAGATGTCCCGGCTGGAGGTGTGTGTGGGTGTGACGCCTGTGTCCGTGTTGCCAGGTGTCCCGGCTGGAGCTGTTGTGGGTGTGACGCCTGTGTCCGTGTTACCAGATGTCCCGGCTGGAGGTGGTGTGGGTGTGACGCCTGTGTCCGTGTTGCCAGGTGTCCCGGCTGGAGGTGGTGTGGGTGTGACGCCTGTGTCCGTGTTACCAAATGTCCCGGCTGGAGGTGGTGTGGGTGTGACGCCTGTGTCCGTGTTGCCAGGTGTCCCGGGCGAAGATGGTGTGGGTGTGACGCCTGTGTCCGTGTTGCCAGGTGTTCCGGCTGGAGGTGGGTGTGGGTGTGACGCCTGTGTCCGTGTTGCCAGGTGTCCCGGCTGGAGCTGCTGTGGGACGGCTGTCGCCAGGCGGCGGGCAGACCTGGAGTCGGAGGCCAAGCGCGCCTCCCAGGTGCTCGCCGACTACGCCTCGGGCCTGGAGGAGGTGACCAAGTGGATCGGTGAGCTGGAGTCGCGGTTGTGGCGCCGCCGCCGAGCCGGTGCAGCTGCGCGCCCTGCTGGAGGAGCTGCAGGGCGAGCTGGCCGTCACCTCTGTTCGGCTGGTGGACGTGACGCGGCTGGCGGGCGTCATCACCGAGCGCGCCCGCCAGCCGGCGCGGCGCGCCACCGTCCAGCAGGCCGTGCAGCACGCCACGCAGGAGCTGGAGGCCGCCCGCGGCCGGCTCGAGAAGCGGCGACTCCAGGTGAGGGCTCCAGGTGTGCCATGTGAGGGCCGCTGTCTGGTGTGGTGGCGCTGGCCGCTGGTCCGGTGTTGTCACGGCAAGGGGCCGCCACCGTACTCAGCGGCGTTCCAGGTGTCAAAAGTCTGTAAGCAAGTGCTGGTGTTTGACGGTGGTTTGCCGGGCTGTCTCGCCGCAGGTTCTCGAGTCACTGGAGTCGTGGAGTCGCTTCATCGATAGTCATGACGCTGTCCGCGACTGGATGAAGAAGCAGCACGCACTGGTGCGCGAGCCGAAGACTTTAAACACGCTGATGAACGCTAGGGACGCACTCAACGAGTACAAGGTGATCACGGTTTTCAGAGCGGCGTTTCGTGAAATCGTCATGCTTTTCATGACAATAATAAAGGCGGGGCTCGGTATGTGTGCAATGGGAGATGTGTGCACGGTATGTCACACTCCAGTCTCGTTGTATGGGTTGTGGTGTCTGCTAGTTGGCTATCACTCCAAACTAGATAACAGATGGCTACGATCCTCCCAATGTCAAGCGCGGCCGTCCCGGATCGGGCTCCAAACAGTGCATTCGATGACGCAACAGGGTGTTAGCCGCCCTGGTAAACTTCCCGTGGCGTGGGAGGAGGCGCCGGCGCCAGCAGCCGCGCCGCACGGTCGCTGACGCGCCGCTGCCGGCCGCCGTCGCCAGGCCGCCGTCAAGGAGTGCAAGTGGGCCACCCGCAAGCTGCACGAGATGGCCACCGAGCTGAGCAGCATTGGCGAGACGTCCAGCGTGGACGCGCTGACCGAGCGCATGTCGGCCTGCGAGCACGACAAGATCGAGACCGAGACGCTGCTCAAGGAGCGGGTGAGGCGGCCGGCCGGCGGTTGGGCGCGGCTCCGTGCCCCGCCGCTGCTCCACTGCATAACCCGGCGGCCATTTGGTGGGCCGAGGCTCTCAGCTGACTAACTGTGACGGGGGGGGGGGGGGGGGGAGGGGCGGGTTTTATGTAGACGGAACGAATTAGAATGATCGCGGTCTAGCTTTTCCTTTCATTCGCTCGCTGCGTGGTGGTTGTCGTTTGGTCCCCGCGGTCTGTGCAATAAGCTTGGCTGATATTTGGTGTGCATTCAAACAGCTGTTGCTCCGATGGACTCATGTCCAGCCCGCGTGCCGCTGTGTGTCTTGAGTCACGCTGCCATTGTCGGGTGTGGTAGTCGTGCTGGCGGCCGTGGGCCATTGGCTGGAGCACTGGGACCGCGTGGCGCGGACCAGGTGTGGCCAGCAGCTGTGATCTGGGCTGCGCTCCAGAGCTCGCTGGCGGAGGCTGGTGTGTGCTGGGCTGGGCGGTAGCAGCGCCATCTGGTGCAGGTTGGGTCTGGTTAGGGACCGATTATGGCGCTAACGGCGTGGCGCGGCGCTGGCCGGGCCGCGGCCTCGAGGACGTGTTCTGTGTTGAAGTTAGGTACGGACGGAAAGGCCGGCCGGCTGGGGCCCGGCAGCTGCATCTGACGGCGGAGCTGTAGCCGCGCGCTTGTCTCGCCCGTCCGTCAGAGGGCACTGTTGCCACACACGGCCGAAGGGTGGGGCTGGCTCTCTGACATCTGCCCGGTTGACAGATGTCGCTGCTGCTGGAGATGACCGAGGAGTGGGAGCAGTGCGAGCGTAAGATGCGGGAGGTGCAGGCCTGGTGTCAGGCGTCGCGCGCCTCGCTCGAGTCGCAGCAGGCGCGCAAGAGGCCCCTGCGCGACCAGCTCGCCTTCTGCGAGAAGATGTCCAGTGACAACGGCATCCAGCGCACTCGTCTGGCCATGGCTGTGGACAAGCTGGGAGTGAGTGTAGCCGCCGGGCGGACTGGCGGCCCGGGCCCAACACAAACAGCACTTTCCTGCGACGCCTGCGTGATGGCCCTCATAAGCTACACGCATTGTCACAAGAGTGTGTGCGTTCTACGGGTATTGCGGTAATAGTGGCCCAGGTCCCACTGTTATTTGCGGAGGTGTATTAGGTCTAGGCTGCAGCTCACCTCCCTCCCTCCCTGACTCGATGCTGTGTGTCCGGCCGGTCCCCAGCTCGATGCTGTGTGCCCGGCCGGTCCCGGCTCGATGCTGTGTGTCTGGCTGGTCTCGGGCTCGGTGCTGTGTGTCCGGCCGGTTCCTGGCTCGGTGCTGCGTATTCGGCCGGTCCCCGGATCGTTGCTGTATGTCCGGCCGGTCCCCTGCCTCGATGCTGTGTATCCGGCCGGTTCCGGCTCGGGTGCTGCGTGTCCGGCCGGTCCCGGCTCGGTGCTGTGTGAGTCCGGCCGGTTTCCGGCTGGGCGCCTCCTGACGTGCCGTCTACCCGGTCTCAGGTCCACTTCCGCTCTGGTTACTTTGCCGGCGCGTCGGTGGTGGAGGAGCGTCGCTCCGAGCTGGAGTCGGAGCTGCGCCAGCTACAGACCACCGTGGACGAGCAGTGCCGCTCGCTGGCCGTCTGCGTCAGCCAGCTGGAGCAGTACCAGCAGGTGGGTGTGCTGGCGCGACGCCGCGTTACCCGGCTGCCAGCGGGCAGCCGCTGCTGCCGGTTGTACGGTCGGCGCTGGAGACGGTCTGCGTGGCTGCTGGCGGTGCTGGTGACGTCACACAGATGGCACCTCCAGGACGCCGTCCTGCCGTCTCGCCTCGTTGGTAACAGCTGTATGGTGTTGGCAGAGCTGTCGATATCTTACATTGATAGGTACTGGTATGGCTGTGAAAGGCTAAGGAATCATCAGCTCTGAAAGCGGATGTGTGGCCGCACTGTCTCATAGGTGCGTTGTGATATTGCCACCAGCGCCAGTGCGGGTGCGCTGGCGGCCGGGATCCTCTTCAGCCGGCCCTGTCCCTCCTGGCGTCCGATGCTCCGCCGCCGTCGTCGCCGCGGCGCCGCTCCTCCAGCCTGCCTCCCTCGCTGGCCCGCCCTCTCCCGAGCGGGCGGCACGCCCCGCCGCCGTCAGTCGGGACCTGACGCCAGATCCGCGCCAGCTTCACAGCTGTGTGCGTAGCGCGCGCTCCCTGCTGCGCCACACCTGGCGCATGTGCGCGGTACGTGGTTGCAGGTTCTCCTATGATCCCTCTCCTCTGCCCTCTCCCTGCGCCCCCCCCCCCCCACCCCTCCTCTTCTCTCCTCCTTCTCCTCTCATCGCCTCTCCTCTCATCGCCTCTCCTGTCCTCTCCTCTCCTCTCCTCTCCTCTCCCTCGCCTCTCCTCTCCTCTCCTCTCCTCCTCCTCTCCTCTCCTCTCCTCTCCTCTCCTCTCCTCTCCTCTCCCCTCCTCTCCTCTCCTCTCCTCTCCTCTCCCTCTCCCTCTTCCTCTCCTCTCCTCGTCCTCTCCTCTCCTCTCCTCTCCTCTCCCCTCCTCTCCTCTCCTCTCCTCTCCTCTCCTCTCCTCCTCTCCCCTCCTCTTCTCTCTCCTCTCCTCTCGTCTCTTATCGTCTCCTCTCCTTTATTCTCGTCTCTTATTGTCTCCTCTCCTCTCCTCTCATCTCTCTCCTCTCCTTACCTCTTTTCTCCTCTCCTCTCCTCTCCTCTCCGCTCCTCTCCTATCCTCTCCTCTGCTCTGCTCTGCTCTGCTCTCCTCTCCTCTCCTCTCCTGTCCTCTCTCCTCCTCTCTTCTCTCCTCTCCTCTGCTCTGCTCTGCTCTGCTCTGCTCTGCTCTCCTTTCCTCTCCTCTCCTGTCCTCGCTGTTCTTTTCTGCTCTCATCTCATCGCATCCCCTCTTTTCTCTCCTTTTTTCTCTTCTTTTATCTCTTCTCGTCTCCCTTCTCTCCTTTCCTCTATGCTCCTCTTCTTCCGTGTTCTCACTTCTCCTCCGGTCGCTGGCCAGTGTTGGTGCCGGGCCGCCACAGTCATCTGTGCGTCTCCTACCAGTCGAGTTGTCCGTGTGGAGGAGGCGAGGCTGACCTATTCGCTCGAACGCGCTGTGATGCTGTATGGTTGACTTCAGACACCCAGCGCTGTATCGGCCTCAGCCGAGCTCCCGTCTTGTGACCTTTCCATGACTGCCGCTTCGCAGGCTGCCTGAATTTAGTAGGACTAGTTCCTGTCCTAGTCTACCATATGTTCTCATACCTATCCAGGCTCTGGCCCGTCTTTCATCCGAAACCTGGCCAGGGCGAGTGACGCGCGCCGCCGTGCCGATGCGGCACCGGCGGCCATGCGTACCTCCACCAGTCGGCCCGGTGCCTGGTCGTGACCCCCCCGCCACCCGCAGGACGTGCAAACGCTACGCGCGCGCATACTGGAAATCGAATCAGCAGTTGCGCACCGTGTCGCAGCCGGCACACGTGGCACGGGACCGGGACGTGGCGCTTGCGCAGCAGCGGGTGAGCGCAACCGAGGGCCGATCGGCACGGCCCCTCGGCGTGTGCGCGTGTGCCGGCCGCCGGGGGCTGAACTCGGCGGTGGCCGCCGTCGCCGGCGGTGCCGTGTGTTCTGTGGGTGACCCAGTCAGTCGACGTCCCAGCCCAGTGGTGTCCCTGCCTACCAGGTGCGACGAAACAAGTGCTATCTGTGTTACCTGTGTCGGCCTTCGCTGACTATGTCTTCTGTTCTGTTTCAACCTATAAAATAATTGACGCGTGTCCGGGGCGTGGCGATTGTGTAGTTTGATTTAACGTGAATTCAAAATGCACGCTGCTGGAAGCTTTCGTGTAGAATTCAGCCTTACAGTGAGCGTG